TTATTTATTTATTTATTTAATTGTTGTACACCACCCAGAGTCACCTTGTGTGAGATGGGCGGCTATATAAATATGATAAATAAATAAATAAATAAATTGGTGTTAGTTGCTTGCATGAGAAAATGGAGGAAGAGCAATGCTAGTCTTCACCTAGAATTCATCAATCCTAATCTGCACAATGTTTTGCTGTTTTTAGTCACTTCCAAGTGATTAAGGGCTGTGCATTTGTCATTTAAAAGAAGCAAAGAACTATGGAGGAATGATTGTTGACTACTGTCATTTTTAAATCCTGCACCTTCTGCTTCAGTCCTGCTCAAGAAGCAAAACGAATGTCTTAATATCAAAATGCCTTTGTCAGCTAAGGAGATACAAAATAGATGTGTACATTTTCTGTGCATTGTTGTTAGTTCCAGAGACATATATATTCTTCATTCTGGTCTGGTTGTATATATACTGAGTATAAATACAGCTGAGTCAATGCAAAGAAAAATCATTCAGTTCTTTCATAGTTGATAAGAAAATGTGTACCTTTGTTAAGAACCTATTGAGCCCTCACATGATTAAATCTGTGGATTTAAGTAAAATATTGCATTGAAAATGGAACAACTGTATAATGGGCATAAATGTAAGTCTAGTTTGTCTGTGGATCTTGACAGTGTTCGATTTCACTTGGAAATGGCAACAATATATACATAGGTAACTGTATTACTAACACTGAAAAGTGCTAGGAATTAAAACAATTGATACAATGGTAAAATAGATTCCTAAATGACCAAATGACTGCAGCCAGAGAGTACTCATAAATGGCTTTATGTCAGCTTGGAGAGTTGTATCAAAGGGAATGCTACAGAGCTATGTCCTGGACCCTTTCCTCTCATCTCCAGACCAACTGAAGCTATAGCTGAATCAGAGTTTGGGTTTTTTTCACCTTCTCTTGGATGAAGCCTTCTTATTTACACAATGTGAGTCACTTTGGCGGCATCTGAGCTGGTGATATGGGAGGGGGGATCTCCCATCTCCTGTTGGCCATTTTGGCAGGTGGACATACTTCTTTCCCTTTTCCATTGCATGGCATGCCAGCAGCCACATCAGAAGGCTGAACCAACAGAAACTTCCCTTTTCCCATAATTTGCTGGCACTCCACAGAGCCCTGCATGGCATGTAATCATGAGCCATCACCATGCATGACAGGCCAGCATGATTATCAGTATAACTGAGGAGTGGGGGCTCAGCAAGTTACAAGGTCAGCATTGGCCTGCAACCTGTGAACACAGTGTCAGCACCAGCCCTGCCAGATCTCCTCTAGGCAGAGTGTTGCCACTTGTGCATAGTGGTGGCTCTGGCTGTAGCAGAAGGAATTTCCAACTCCTTACAGCAGTCACTAACTCACAAACTACCCATAGGTGCCAGGGGATTCCTACCTCAGCTACTAGTAGCTGCCTACAGACTCCTGAGGCATTCTATGAGGACCTCTCTCATTTACCTTGTTGATAGCCATGCCATTAGGTTGCATCAATGGCAGCTCTTGCTCTAACGGGTGCCACACACACAGCCAGCTACCACACCATGTGGGCCATGTATTGGATTCTCCTCACAGTGTGTGAGCAGGTATCAGCCCTTCAAGGTAGATCGGATTGGGAAGCAGACTCCACAGGAAGACCAGAACTGAGAAAGGCTATGATAACAGAATCTTGCAAGTCTGCCCATGTCTTCCCTTCCCTCCCTCTTATACCCCAAGGACCCAGGGGAAGGCTAGTCTGAGTTTCTTTGTAATACTCTTCTTCCTCTCTGGACTAAATGCATGTTTCTTCTGCACCTGGTGTTTCTCTAACGGCCTCTCGGTTCTTTTTCCAAAGTCATTTCCTTGGCTTCCTACAACAGGCCATATGGGGGTGGTGCTTGCTGAAGCAGAACTCTTTGCTCAGCCTGTGTCTACCCACATGGTATGTGGAAGACATGTGGGGAATCTTGGAGGAGAGAGCAGAAATTCCTGTCTCCCAGATCCCCTGTACAAGCTGCCCACTCACAGAGCAGGTGATCTGGGAAGAAAGAGAGCCTCTCCTGTTTTCTTGGAATTGTTCCCCCAGATCAGCCTCCTTCCCAAGCCCCAGCCTCAGCCTCAGCCTAAATTAGGGAGAGTGATCAGTGGATCTTTTCCCATCAGCAGGAAAATCTACCAACCACTGCATCTTAGCTTGCCCCACAATAGTTTATTAAGACAGCATCACTTTCCATTTTTGTTAGCAATGTGGACTACAGTCTGGTTATTTCGACAGAGTAAATTTGTGCTGGCATACTTGGTGCGATCTCAAGGACTGAATAACAGCACATTAAATAGGCTAGCAGGATGGCTCTTTAGTCAACCTCAAGAGTCTTCACAGAATGAAGTTTTGATACAGGAAAACATGTTATAAAATCTTGTGAAAATAAGCTCATTCAGTCCAGTGAATTCAGTACTGCCAGATTTTTGTTCATGGGGGTGCTATCAACCTGACCTCTGCCTGCTCTTCCTGAATGCTCTTGATACCCATAGGATGAGTGGTGCTCTCAGTCAATCTGTTGATAGGTTGCTCACTAGAGCTGTGTGATGCTTTGGTGACAGCTCAGAAAAGATGCCGCTGCTTTAAAGAGTTGCTGAAAGGTGCAGTTATGCTCCTACACATTCCAAGTATATTTTCTAAATTATTCCCAATGGATTGTACAGCACTAATACACATATTATTGGTGTCCCAACACTCAAAACTTTGTTGTGAACCATGGAAAGTGATGATCTTAGCAGGGAAAATGAGTTCTGGATACCATAATAGTTTAATTAGTTTCTAAAATAAATGAGCTTGAATGCCCAGTTCAGCCTGGGTTGTTGTTTTATTATCTCTCTTGGAACATTTGTCATCTTTCTTTTCTTTGCCAAATTGTCCTTTGAACCTACAAGAAAAAAAACTGTACAGTACTAAGTAAAAGAAGAAGAAAGCTGTGAAGGAGAGAAAAAGTACACCACAAATCTGCACTTTCTGTTTCCTAGAAAGCATGTAGTAAGGAGAATTGATAATTCAGAACAGAGTATTTTGTGTTCCCTGAAAGAATTGCTCACCTATGTTTATTCTAGCTTTGCTAGAGGAAGTGAATAGTTTCTCTTCTGATCTCCTGTTCCTGGGTCTAGGAGGAGAATTGTGGCAGTGATACTGAAGGGAAACTTAAGAGTGTAATGTTAGATCTGCAGTGTCTTTGCTGCCTCTAGGGAATGACACATGGAGCATCTTCTGTGGCAGCAAATATTTCTGGAGCAGGTGTGAATTCCTAAGAAAGGATATAGCCTTAGAAGTCAGCTGTGAGGAGGGCAGGCATGCCAACATGTGATTTAAAAAAGAGTAGATTAGTACTTATGGATCGTTTGTATCTTTGTTTACTTTTGATTAGAGTTTACTGACTCATTTTTTTCCCCCCTTTTCAGAATGAAGAAACCAGTTTTACCATTCTGCTTGGTAGAACTGTCATCATTTTAGATTTAAGCTGCTTTAAGATCCATTTTTTCTCCCTACTTCATGTAGCTTTCAGAACATTTCTTCGTTACTATTGGAGGAGAAGCAACCTGTCTCATTCACCAGGATCTTTTGCAACACTGTGCCGCTGTTTGCATAAACCATGCTCAGCATGGTATCTTTTAGGACTTTGGACCTCTACGGTGGGCTGATGCATTGTGATCATTGCCTTTTCAGTACCAATGAACTGTACTTATTCTTCAGCATGTTAAGAGGTTCTGCTTGCACATGCTACAGCAGTAAAATCTGGTGTTTACTAGCATATTTTCAAACCTCTACAGCACTACCTCAGTTAAAAGTCAAACTGGATTTGTATTGTGGTTTAGGATGGCTGGCATTTCCTTTCTCTCAGTGGCATAGTACAGGCGTCAGCCTTACTGAATCTTTCAAGAACCCTGCTGCTGGCTGGCTGCTTCGTTTACTTACATGCAAAGCCCAGAATGGGACCTGAAAAACTTAAAGCCAAGATGCAACTTGATAGATTAGATTTCTATCAATATATTTATGATAATTATAAGATACGCTATGGAAGCAACAAAACTTGGTACCATTAAACTATATTGGGATGTCATTCTATACCTCTGACATTTGTTTGATAGTTTCTGTTTATCTTTTAAAGTCCTGCAGACTTCAAAGATCTTTTATCCTATTTGTATGCTTACGTTTACCAGCTACTCTTGGTATTAGCTTATTTTCTTGCAACTAAAATTTAGAAATGAAGGCTAATATGTGTCAAAAAGGTGACAAACTTTTGTACAAAATACAACATTATTCAGTAAGGCTGAATATTTTTCTTCAACAAGTAACAGTTTCCATTAAAAAAAAAAAAGCATAACATTTGGGGAGAGGGCAAAATTTTCAGTCATTCTCCCAGAAATAGTTCACAAGGATATACATACTCAGTATTTTGAAAACAATAGTGTCATGGCTGCTATTTTTACATATCTCATCTTCAGAGCTTGCACTATGGTGGTCCTCCTCTTGTTGCTTCTGATCTGTATTTGCTTGAAGAAGCTTTTTAAAAACGTGTTGTTATTTTAAAGGTACCTGATCATTACTAAGAGCAACCATAAGCTTTTTCCTTGAGCAGTCCTGTGTTTAAGCAATGAACACAATGTCACCAGAAGCACAATGTGCTTTCTGTCTTTACTGAGCTAAGGTTTTATTGCTCAAGATAACGCAAAGTTCTTCTCCTTCCATGCTGAGCGTTGGGACAGAAGATCCTGTAAAAAGGGGCATCTGAATGTAACTGCTACCCATTCATGGTTTCTTTGAGGGAATGGGAGGAGAGTAGAATAATGCATATGTTGAAGAATGGAATTATCAAATAACAAAAAATTTAAAAGTTCAGTACCTCACCTTTCCTGCAGAAGTTTTTGACTACAATTTCTAACATCCCTGATCAATGCCCATGCTGGCTTAGGTTGTGGGAATTGTGATCCAAAACATCTGGAAGGCACTAGGTTGTGGGGGACTGTCATAAATTAAATTAATGAAGATGGCTGCGTATGATGTCCTCAAGTAATGGAGCACTGCATCTGATGATCTTAGGGGGAAAAATCAGTTCCTGATACCATAATAGTCAGTTTAGTTAGTTTCTAAAATAAATGAGCTTGAATATATACTGACTTCTTGTCAATACTTTACATTTCACAAAGGCATATGCAAATAGTTACATTCTTAATCTAGTTTACAATATGAAACCAAAATGTATAAATGTTAAATTTGCTAACACTTTGCTATGTATATTGGGTCTTTGTACATTCTGCTTGATTTTACCTTAAATTTTAAATATTTTTTGCTACGTAACATTAACAGTTATAAGCAGTGTTTTCTTTTTAGAAATATAATTGTTTCTGGACATTGAGATAGTAAATATATTTCTTGCCATTGTGCTAAGGCAAAACACTTAATATATCTTGCTGTGTCTTCCAATGCACACTATGTATATAGGAATAATCAATGATGCTGCTGGGGAAGAGAAACCATGGAACTAAAATTTAGTATTTAGTCTTTACTGATCTTGGCTGCTATCCTTAATAGCCATATGCAATAAAATGTTATTTATTGAAGAATTAAAGTCCTTGAAGGCCTGTTCCTTTTTTAAATCAAAATTGTTTTCTATAATATAGCTTTCTGCTATGTTTTTGAGCCTCTTCCTCAATCATCTTCTCTAATCAAAAGTTCCATCAGTAGAAATGATAGAGTTAAATTCTGTCCTTTGCTTGAAAATGTGCAGTGTAGTCCTGAGAAAATAATTTCAGATTTGGAAACAGTCTTTTATTAATAACAGTGCTTTTAAACAGATATTTTGCCCCACCAACCCCAGTAATGATGAGGTTAATTCACAAAAACTATTGCCAACAACCTTTTTGGCAAATGAACATCTCTGCCACTTGGGGTAAGTAGCGTCTCCAGAAATTAATATTTTTCATCTTAATTACTTTTTATTTATAGCAACGTATATTAGATGTATTTTGATAATTTTTAGTAGCTATAGTTGCACTGTCAGTTCCATCTAGATATCAGAATCTGACATCTAGAAATCCTTGGATCTAATAAAATACTCATTTGTAAAATCTTGTTTTATTAAACTTGTAATGAAGTCTAAAAAAATTCATTCTTACAGTGTGTAAAATGGCCCATCCTTTTCTGCCATAATTCTACCGGCCATAGAATTCTGATCATTTTTAGGGGGGGGAAACACTGCAAAACAATTGTCTCTAAGAATGAGATCTACACAATAATGCATTTTCAAGCATAAACTGGGCTGAGTGGGTTCTGTGAAAGATTGGGGGGTGGGGGCCTTAAACATGCTGGTCTTTGGCAGACACTCAGCCATCCACTTCTTCCTTGATGCTGTTCTTCTCTTCTCAATAGCTGTAACATCCTCAGCATTTGTCATCAGCAACATTGGCAAATACTCTGGACGGGTTGGCAGCTGGCTGTCTTTCCCTCACCACAGACACACAAAACTTGACTCCCTGCCTACCCCAACGTCTGCCAAACCTATCTAACTTGCTTAGCAGCACAAGAAGAACTGTAGTGAGTCCTCCCTCCCTCCCTCTTCATTTTCCACATTGCAGACCATATTTGTGGGTATGCATGTGCATGTCCCCAAGAGGTCAGCTACTCAGGAGTAAGTGTCTTTAAGCTGTGTGGGAATCAATAAAGAAGTTAGGATTGCTGTAGTGCACGTGTACCTCAAACCTCCTTGAAGTGGGACTTCTGGAGTAAACACAACATGAGAATCACATTTGCAAATCCAGGCAGGCAAGGGGAAGGTAAGTGCTTGGTAGCTCCAGCAGGACATTTACTTTGGAAGAAATCCATGCCACCAATACCTGTCCTAGAGGTATACCACTCATACTATTTTTATTTTGTTTTTTGACAAGGCCTAATACCTATTTATGCAATGTGAACCTTTTTCTACATATGGATCATTGGCTACAAATTGATACAAATGCAAACACTACAGAAAAAGGTGAAAGCAAAAAAAAAAAAAAAAAGCCAATGCTGCTGGTATCCATATGGCACATGTTTTGAGAAATTAAAATTAAAATTGACTGATTTTACAGGACAAACATTTCCTCATGGAGAACATAATGAATTTCTGGATAGAGCTTCTAAAGGAATATCCTGAATCTGTCAGTTGAGCATGAAAATATCTGATGCCATTTGCAACAACATGTCTTTGGAAGAGCACCATCTCTTTACATACAGCAACAAAACAAGTACAGAAATAATCCAAATATAGAAAATTATCTCTGCTTACAGGTAATATCAATAGTTTCAAACACTGAATTTTTATCCAAGGAAAAGCAATCACATCCTAGTCGCTGATTTGTTTGACTAAAACATGAACCTCCCAAATAATTGTGAAATTCAAGTTCTATTTTGTGTACATTGGAAATGTTAATTTTGCATTTACAATAAACAGCTACTTTTCATTTTATTGCCAGTTTTCTATCCTGAGTGTTTTGCTTCTTAAATAGGGGTTATGGGAATTTTTTTTTCTAGCTAACAGATTCCATGGCCTGAAAAAGTTTGAAAGCTGGTGTACTAGACAATAGAATTAGGTTTGGTTACGTTTTCTTCCATTACATAAACTGTACACTAGATACTTCTGTGCATGACTACACTGAGTTCAGATGGCTTACTCCCAAGTAAATGTGTACAGAATTACACCCTTAACTTTCCCTTCTTGATACCAAAGCTATCAATACATTTCAATCTGCTAAACAATGTTTTGTTGTATCTAATACGTTCAAATTCTATTATTCCCTCAGTGGGTTTTTTTCCCCCTGAAATTCAAGTGCCTAACTTGAAGATATGAAAAAGAAAGAAAGGAAAAAGATTTGACAGTCTTAATCCTTCATCCCCTGTACTTGTATCACATAGATACCTGAGGTAATGAATGATCTCCTAGAAGACATTTTTCATTTAAATTTCAGCCATGTCCTCCAGTGCTTCTGCATTGGGACTTTGTTCTTTTGGAAGCCCTCTTACAGATCCGCACTGCTTGGCAGTGTGGTTTCTGGCATGGGTCGCATTAGCACTTGAGCATTACTTCAGCAGCTTATTTCTTTTGCAGGAAAGAGGCTCCCTTTCAGGCACAGAATGGCCTCTTGAGTCTCCTCCTGACCCCTGATCACCCAAAAGAGGAAGCACTGTGTAGAAAGAAGAGTTACTCTGAGGAGAGATGCACAACTTGTGCATCTCCAACATGCAATGGGCGAGCAAAGGTAGCTGAAGACCTAAGGAAATGTGTTCATTAGCCACAACTCCCTGCCTTTCTCTTGCAAGGCTAAACAATTCCTCCTAAATTCTGAGCAGACAGATGTTCCAGGAGGTAAGTTATAGTGATTATTTTTATTTCAGAGGGGCAGCACTCCAATCCTGGCTTCCTCACTTCTTTTAATGTGAACTTTTAATCTCCATCCCCAGTTTTATACACCAACAAGAGAGGCATGTGTAAGAACAATGCAGCTGTCTCACTGCATATCGGCTGGCCCTTAAATCGTATGCAAAGGATGCTGGCCCTGTTAACTTGTATATGGAAGTAAACATGGTCATGTTCCTAAACTTGAAAAACTGCAGAATACCAGCATTGAAAGAAGGCCGCCAGCCCATTCAGCAGTAGCCAGTTGTCTCCAAGCAAGAATCTGTGACATTTAGACTGGATACACTTGCATTCATTTTACTGAGCCCACTACGCAAATGTAGCTCACTTTACCACCTCTATGAAAAAGCTCCAAACCCCATGGTGTAGATTGTACTATCCAGACACAAGTTTATCATCTCATTCAGGGTCAATTTAGTAATGATGGAATTTTTCTAGTTAACAAAATGCCAGTGCAGGTATCCAGAATTTGATTGGCGCTATGACTGGGAAGTTGTTTAATTCCTTTTTTTACAACCATTTTTCCTGATTAATTTTTCCCCCAAGTTGCTGGTTGCTCTACACAGAAAATCTTCCCTATGAAACATACCTTCATTAAACTAGGGGATAGCAACTTTGATTGGAGACAAGGTATGAGCTTCTTCCGTTGCTCCAAAGTGGCACCTCTTCTCTTCCCATGGATGCATTAAACTGGGGTGGACAAAGACATCTGCCATGCTGCATGAAATCCTCAGTCCCACTTTTTTTTTTTTTTTTTGCAGCCTCTAGAGCCCTTTGTGGTCTTACCATCAAAATTTAGGAACAAACTGTTAACAAGGGTATTGCAATTTCCCACCCATTTTTGTGGGAAACAAAGAAAAGGGTGTACTAAGTCTATGATAGCTTTAATGTGCTTATATTTTATAATATCCTCCTCAAAGGGGGAATATGGGTTGAAAAATCCCAGAGCTTCTCTGTAATGTGATAGACATCACCTGGTCCACAGTGGTCCTCTATTACCCAAAAGAGTAGTATAAAGAAGGACACACTTCAGATGCAAAACATTTGCCCACCCCTGAATTACATGGTGGGAAATCCAAAAACTGATAAACATTTTCAGTCAGGTTATTTTCTGATAATGACAACACTGAATCTGAAGACAAGCACCTTTGCCTTGAAAAATGACATCATTTAAAAAAAAAACTTTGATTATTAAAAATTTAGTAAATTCAAGCTATTTTTCAAAGATTATATATTTTTATCTTTAAAAAAAAAACAATGGGGAATACACATGGAAAGGAATGCATTGGCACCAACAGCCACGAGCACGCTACACAAACAGCCTGGTGCATTCCCCATTGTGTGCCTGCTTACTCTCTTGTAATCCCTTCCTCTCCAATCTCTCTGCTCTGCGAGGGGGAGAGGAAAAAAACAAGCAATTTCTGTAGGCAATCTCTCCTCCGCCTGACCCATTTCCTCCCAGTATACCCAGCCAAAATTGTATTGTGATCCAAATGCCTTCCAGAGGAGCTCCGTCTTGAGCTTCTTCCAGAAAGCAATCAGAGCCAACCTGATGCCCATTCCAAAGGACTGGCGCTACTACCAAAAAGCAGCACTTCCAAGCCTCAGCCCCCTTCAAATGGAGAACCACTAGCAGGTTCTAGATTGTTTTGGATGGGCTGATTCCAATGAAAGAATGCAGTCCTGCAGATAACTTAGCCCCAAGTCTGAAACAAAAAAGGTCAACTGTACTGGAAGTTTGTTAAATCAGTCTTATATACATGTACATGAAAGAGGGGACATGTTGCCAGCTAGCCATGCTCCTAGGCAGAAATAGAGCCAGTCCACGGAGGAAACCTCATAGAGTAGGGGACAAAAATACAGGGAAGGAATCATCGGGGACGGGAGCTTCCTACAAGGCCAGGGTCACTAGATGATCCTGGCTAAGTCCCTCCGTTGGTTGCCTCTAATACTGCTTCTACTGTCTCCTGAGTTATACAGCAACCACATTCTTCTCTTTGTATATTCAGTTGATTAGATCTATCTCAGCCAACAGGGGGTGGATGGGTGGGAAATGTTTACTTTAGAATGTACTAAGACTGAAAGGCACAAGAGATTAAATGAATAAACATGTATTTATTTATGAAACCAAGCACTCAGAACGAGTAATCCAGGGAAGAATAAACAATGAGTTGAATAACCTAACCACCATGACTCCCACTTCCACCTCTGTCCTTAACCACCAGCCTTTTAGTAATTCTTTCTCACTGACTTTCCCAACTGAAGTTCGGTTCCCACTTGCACTTTACCACAATTCAGTCATGCCCTGACAACACAGATCTTCCCCTGCAGGCCACAGTTTTGTCCTCCTCTCATCTCCAGCATGAATGTAATAGCTTTAAGCTGTCATGAGGTGTACCTTAAATTAATATTTCTCCACAGCTTCACAGTAATGCTTGGCCATCCATTACCTTGGAGAAAAGGTTAATTGAGCTGTTGTGCGTGCAACCATGGGCATGTTGGGAGGCCTGGGCACACCTCCTAACCTCTTGTCCTTTGCCAGCTTCACCACACCCATTCCTCCAGCTTACACTGTGTTTCCAGAGTTCATTTCTTATCTATCAATTCCTTCCTGTACTTTTGATACCAACTTCTCTCTGGTTTTTCAACAGGTAGAGAAGAGGAAAACATACATCCAATGTTTTCTTTGGGAAGATGAGGGCTATTTTTGTGCTTTTCTCTTTGAACATATTCTGAAATCTATTTTACAAAAGCCCTATTTCTCCTCACTGCCATGTCTGGAAAATAACAAGGGATGTTAAAGTGGGTTTCTGTTGCTTATTGCCTGTTGGGTATATTTGTCATCCCCAAGTAAGACACTTGGATGCCCATCATCAAGTCAGTTTCATCTCTTCTGCGCAACAGGATCCGCCTGATAATTCCTCCTTTCTGGGACTATTTCTGTTCTAGTGTCTAGGGTCTACCCTGATGTCTTTCTTATTTCACATTATTTTAATTGGGAAGAGGTCAAATGGGTTTGGGAGGAGAGGCAGGGAGGTTTGGGTGGAATTCTAAAGTTGGACCCTTTCCAGTCACAGCACAGTGGTTGTTTTCCCCACTGATTGGTGAATAACCTTTTTTCCCCCCAAATTCAGATTCCTACACAGCCCTAATAAGACAATGTAATATGTATATGAATAAATTAACTGGAATAGCTTATTTATAGTAGAAACTGATCAGTAATGGGTCTCAGAAGATGAAAGCTTTTTCTTCACTGGAGGTTTTCAAAGAGAATCTGGATGGATTTCTTGTACACCAGGAAAAAATGTGATGGCAGTAAATATCCTGGTTAAATTTTGAGAACTTGTGACCAGCAGGCAACTGGTTGGTAGTACAAATCTTTCGGTGCAAACACTGTGATTCCTGTATTTGCACCAGTCAGCAGCCTGGTCAATGTGTTTTCAGTCAATTGCCAGTTCTGGACAGGACACTTTTAAAGGCTTGGTCAGCATGAAACTCATTGCAGTAATCAAGGCAGGTTGTAATTAAAGTGTAGATAACTGTTAGTCTGGCCAGTTCAGGAAGGGTTGCAGTTTGACACATTAGCCATATTTGTGCAAATGCACCCCTCATCATAGCTGTACCTGCATATTCAGTAACAGCTGGGGATCCAGGAGCACTCTAAAACTGTGAACCTGCTCTTTGTGGGGGAACCAACTACATTCAAAATAGGTTTCATCTCCCTCCCTGAATCCAACTTTCTCCTTCCCAACAGCACTTCTATCTTGTCTGGATTTAACTTCAGACTGTTCTTCCTCTTCCAGTCTGTTATCAAGATTAGGCATTGCTCAAAGGTATTGATTGCTTCCTTGGAGTTAGATGGTGGACAGCAGTAGTACTCTAAATGACCTCCTCCAGCAGTTTCATGTAGATGAAAACACATATGGGACAAGATAATACCTTATGGGATATTCTAGATCAACAACTAAATCTAAAGCCCTCTCCAAATATTAGTAATGTGGTGGTTGTGAGCACCATGGCTTCCAAACATCTCTAGATGCTATCTAT